CTTACATTTCTCATCAAGGGGGGCACTTGCTCCAGGTCTCTTTTTTTTTAACCTTGGATCTTCTTACTTGGGACCACTCCTATCATATCACCCCACTAGCTTGCCATGTTCTGGGGGTGATGAATTTGATGGCAGATCAATTGTCTTGACCCAAATGGATTTGCCCAACAGAATGGATGCTGCATCACAAGGTTTTCTGTTGGATTTGCTCTCAGTTCGGTACACTGATGATTGATGTGTTGGCCACTCATTGGAACACCCAACAACTGGCATTTTTGTCTCCAGTACCTCACCTTTTGAGCATAGACAATAGGTGCTTTTAGTCACGATGGGATGGAATTGCACCTTTACACTGATTGGTGCATAACCCAAGGTAATAGCTGTTGGTAGCACTTGATTGGCAGCTAAACCATTGTTTCACTTTTGTGGTATTTTCAGGGATACCCACCTCTTCCACTTCCTCTTTGGCCATCTCTGAGACAGCCAAGATCTGACATCGTACAACCAGCCATCCTGAAGCTCAAGCTTTATGCATGGAGGTTATGTGGTCCTTTGCATGGTGTCGGAGTTTAACATTTAAGGTTGCTATCTATCTTTCTCAGTATTTACATAGTCCCACAGTGTACATTTATCAATAGAAATGGCATACATATCTACAATTGTGTATTGAGAGGAGGTTCAACCCACTTTGACTAAAAGTGTCAATCATATCTCGTTTTTTGACCTCGCCAATTTTACTACCTTTTGATACTTGAGACGAAAATTATTTGAGTTCCCAGTTCTCTCCAGCCTGTCTAGTCATTTCGGATCCTTTGTCCCAAACGACCATTTCAGTTACCTAACTGGTATATTAAGGTGGTATTACATGATCTTTCTCAACATCCATTTGAAACCTTAGCCTCATGTACTATTGTATCATCTTTTCCTTAAGGTTTAAATTTTGTTGCTGCTGGCCTATGGACCTCACCAGTCAGAGTTGTTTGCACTGATTGTGCACAGGATGCTTTATCATTCTACCTAGGTTCTCCTATACTCTAACAGGTGCTTCTTCCCTAAGAAACTGGCAGCCAGGGAAGGGGATAAATCCTTTTAACTGATTCATCTGACCACTATTTTTCACTTCTATGATGGATTGGATCTCGATCATTTGTTATGCCCAGTGAGAATCTTGAAATGTTATGTTGCCCGCATCAACGCCTTTAGAGGTGCTAGACAACAATGTTTTATTCATTGAAATCCTACAGTTTCCTGGGACCTCTCTCCAGTTACTTTATCAAGGTGGGTATGGAAATTGATCCATATTGCTTATTCTGGGCTCTCTTTGGAGGTGAGGAGTCTTCTGTGAGTCACATCTTTTCAGATTCATCACATTTCTATATCCTTAGTGGCCCAGTTGATTTACCTGCTGGAGTACATTGCACAGGCTGGTATGTGGACCTTCTCCAATACTTTTATATCACATTATTTGCATGATCTAGCAGTATCTTCCTCTGAGGGTTTTCGACTACTCCCAGTAACTATCTTAACTTCATCTGCTAGATAAGGAGGTGTGAGTATCTCCATTAATAATATTATCTATTCTTTATCTTCTAGGGTCCCACACCTGTTTATCATTGGATACCATTCTGTGGCTGGAGCTGCCCAGGCAGGTGTGCTTTTGTCAAACCAATTCTGCACTAGCAACCATTAGCACAATTTATTTTATCTAGGTTACAACAGGCTCTGTAGAAATGAGGTGTTTCATAAGACCACTTAGAGGCAGACTAGGTGGATTGCCACTTGTGAACTATCATGAGTAAAGCAGAAGGGGATCCTGCCCATCCCTGCCAATTATTGGATTGAATAAATCAGGGTTGGTTTGCTTTTAAAAATTTAGGGAACTTTGTTCATCTATTGCATTATTTCCAGAATATTGTTCCTTGAGACCCTCCAAAGTGCATTACCCCCCTCATTTCATATTAGTGGAGCTAGAGAGCCCTTACTTTGCCTGGTTTCTAGTTGCTGGGGTGGTGGACAGAGAATATTCCTCCAGATTGTTTGAGTGACTTTCCTCCACTCTTCGAGAAGAGGACAAAGTTGGGGCCCTCCTTCCCGGGTCTCTGCACGTTTTTTCCCAGATGTTGATGTGAGAGGCATCAGATTACATGGGAGCCTACTTGTAATAGCAGTTCATATTTGATGCTCTGCTGTCAAGTTGGGTTTTGCATGGCCCTTCTTTTTGATCAGTATCGGTTCAATACATTGTTCATGGAAGAGGGTCTATTGTCTTCTCATAATTCTGAATGAAGAGTGTTCTCATCCTGGGTCCTTGATTCCACATAGTTTGTTCCATGTCCTCCCTATAATTCTAGGGAGTGGAATTTATTTTGCCCACAAGGTTGAGGAGAGAGGATAAGTGTTGATGATTCCAGACTGGATGAATTCTGTTTCCTCAGGTTGAGTATGGCATACAGGATTTTGTGATTCTGAATTTGGAGTGTTGCCTTTTGGACATTTTCGAGTGTTTGTTCACTTTAGTGTTGCTTACCTTCTTGCTGTAATTCTGGTGGCTCAGAATGCATCACTCTAAAGCTACAGGTTGTGATCCTCTCTCAAATATATATATATATATATATTGTGATCCAAGTGCCCTAGCAATCAACAAGGGATTTAGGACCCATGGCTCTATAATTCTAACTCCGAGCAGTAGAACCTCATCTATCTGGTTGGGGCCTGGCCTATTGTGATGATGGATCACATCAAGTTCCACCTGAATGGCACAATTTAGTTTCCGGGTGAAGAGCATACCTGTTCTGGATGTAGTATGTTTCCCCCAGTAGGGTGCTAAACCTCTGTTGGTGTACCCATGATCTATGTAGACACTTTATGTATGGATTATGCTCTCACCGGCCCCTCCACCTTATCAATGTGGGTTTCTAGCTGTAGTGTGAAAAGAGGTAAGTATGTTTTGGAATTTAAATCAAAAATGTATTTCCATTAATACTTACCTTCTGTCACACTCTCCTGCCCTTCCTCTCCACTGAGTGCTGGGGTTAGTGACTGCGGACTGGGTCAGTCTCCAAAAAGTGATAACATTATCTGAATTAGGTGCTTATATACAGTACCAAGATAGAGGGTGCAATGATGTAGGTGGAGAGTGTCATGTGGCAGATATCGTCAAGGGCAATTAAGTGGGGAATAAAAGACTGGGGCAAGCAAGAAAAGTTCAGGCTAGTGCTTAGATGGAAGGAAACCCTAGTAGTCGTATAATAAATGTAGTATGAGATGAGGTAAGTATTAATGGAAATATATTTTTTATTTAACAAATTTAATGTTAATATTTTACTAAGGCATTTTTGTTTTACAGTTTTGATGATTGTTTATCCATAGATACAGTTTTGAAAGTATATCTTTGAAACAATATTTTTTATATAAAATTATTGTAATAGCTCAAAGTTGGGATAATAAAAAAAAAAGATCAGATAATAAGATAGAAATGATATTCCAAGTATTATATTTCTGTTTATAAGATGGGTTTATTGATTGTCTTTAATTTTTTTTTTTTAGTTTTAATAAAGAAAAATTTGTAGAAGTAATATTTTATGCATGACAGTTTATCTCTTAGTTAACTTTTTGCTAAGTGAATGTAATACATTAAATACATGTTGCTGCCAAACTTGTAAATAAGTTGTATCAAGGGTATTTTAGCTTGTGAAGACATAGGAGTTTTCATTTTAATAGATATCTTCTACCTGCTTCTAGACTGTAGTGATACATTGGCTTCTATATTGATTGCACTAACTAACAAAAAGACACCACACTGTTAACAACAGTAATTTCAACTGAAGAATGCTTCAGTAAAGAAGCTGAAATGTTGTCCCACTCCAAAAAACAGACAGGAGTAGTCCATTAAAGCCAAACTCTATTCGTACATTAGTTGCTTTTAATTTTTTTACCAAACATTTATTAAAATAATAAAAATCAGTAACACAGTAATGGTAGTTTGACTTAGTAACAGTGGTAGTAGTATTGTTTTTCTTCATCTTTTGCTTTTTCTGTAACTTCATGAGTTATGAATATAAATAAAATGTGATATTGAAAGTTATGTAGCATTGTAAGTTTAAAAACAACAATAAAAGTTTTGATAGCCCTTGAGCTAGATAGAAAAATAGTAATATTTCATATTCTAAGTAAATGTAATTTCAAAAATGTACATATAATATTTTATAAGAGACAAAAATAAGAAACTCTATAACCCAAGTACTTCCAAAAGCTAGACCTTCCTTCTTCTTAAGGTGAAATTGTGTAATGTTGAATGAATTTGTTATAAAATGTTTAATTAATAACATACTAAAAACTTATGCAACCTAACTTAATTATATAATGTATTTTTGTAAGCTTTATTTCAATACTTGTTTGCTAGAGAAATCTGCTGACACTAGATATAAAAAGTATATAAAAGTAATTCTAGAATATATGGAATGTTTATGATTTTTAATGATCCAAAGATTGTAAGATATCTTGAAACAAGAATACATTATAAATATGAAAATTGTGGAAGCATTGAGTTAGTTTTTGGTTTGTTCAGTGATTACGAAGTTAGTAAAGTATTCAGATCATTGTTACTCAATTGATTAGCTGTGAAATTTTATTTGTACGTTAGTTGTAGTGCCATTAGTGAGTAAATGTATGTTGAAAGGGAAAAACTTCATTTGTGAACTTGGCTAGAACTGTGAACAAGTAATAGTAACATGTAGCAAATGTTAAGGAAGAAATAAACTAATCTGTATTGTTACATGGACTTGTTTGCATTATTTTCATTAAATAATTTAAAAGATAGAGCACATTAATGATAGAGCATATTACAAAAGTATTATGAGTAATTGACAGTGTTAAAAATAAGGCTTTATATTAATGGTTAGGTTAGAATACTACAGTTGCAATGAATGTGCATTTTACTTACTTGCCAATTATGTACAAAAGGAATATTAAAAAGATTAATATGAGATTAAATATTTTAGAGGGAAGCTACGGAAAGGTTTTGTGCTGAAGTGAAACGACTATGCCATCAAGAAAAGAGAAGAGACTTTGTATCAGAAGCATATCTTTTGACTTTAGGGAAATTCATCAACATGTTTGCTGTTTTAGATGAGCTTAAAAACATGAAATCCAGTGTTAAAAATGATTATGCAACATATAGAAGGTAAGTTCATATACAGCATTTATGATAAGTACTGTCTTTTGGGGTTACCATTATGGCAAGTCTGCTATCCATATTAAACCATTTCGTTTTTCTTTCAATTTAGAAAGAAAATTTTGAAAATGTTTTACACATCATAAAACTAAACTTGATCCTACGTATTTATCCTCAGTAACAGGTGCTAAGTCAGGTTGTCTAAGCTATTAAGTGCTGTATAGTATATAGCAAATTTCACCTTAGTGTGAGGCTGTTTTATAACTGTTGTTGGGGTGGAGAGACAACCAAATTTTTATAGTTTTGTATGTGATTGACCTAACTGTGGGAACTTTGAGAAACAGCTTGGGTCTTTTAATGGATATATTTTAAACTATTTTGTTATTTTGCTTTTGTTTTTTTGTCCTGTGTTTGGCAGTCTGCATGGTGTAAATTTATATTTGGATTTATTTCAGTTTTTATATTAAACACAAGTCCAGTTCATTTCTGTCTTACTTTCACTTTTGATTTATTTTTGGTAACTTATATTTGCTGTTTATTGTTATATCCCATTCATTTTAATTCAGTTGAAATAATTGGCTGTCTCAGTTTTGTCTGGTACCATCTCTTTAGTTCTGTGATACATAAAGTTACAGGTATTCACAATAAAACAGACAACAAGGGTAAAACAAACAAATTCAAGTGAACAAATATTTTATCAAGTAAATGAGTGCTGAGGTTTTTATCAAACTGGCTGGCTTCTTTGTTCTGTATTACAAACCTTTGAACCTGGTAGAGTGCAGTATTTCAAAATCTGAAATTGCAAGTTTCTACCATTAAAATTTTTAAATCTCAAATTGCAAGTTTCCACCATTCAAATAAGTATTATCTTAGTCTAAGTGAGCATTAACATATTAACCATATTGCTACAGGTTTTCCTATGGGTAGGGGTTAGAAAGTCATCATCTTTGTAGACTTACATTCAAATTTCTATTGAACTACTATTTTATGAATGTATGTCAATACGTTTGGTAAATTATAGATTATAATTCAAGTCTTAGTATTATACATTAGTTTAATTCTTAATTTAAAAGTAAATATTAAAACAAAGTTTCCTAAATCTTGAATTTTATATATGTGGTACGTTGAATGCAGCTTTGGTTCAAATTAGATGTTTGTGATATCAAATTACAAAGTTTATAGTTTTTTACAAAATGAAACTCAAATTACCGATATTGACAAGTTAGAATATAAAATAAAAACCTCCTACTTTTTCTATTTTCTGAGATATTTTATATTTAGTGAACCAAACAAAGTGGCTATGTCCACCTCACCCATTTTTGGAAATACTTGTCTCTTTACACCTAATTCGCTCTATCTCGTGTGTTTAAAACCAGTGGAAAGCTCAGAATTTCCTCCACATGGTTTTTAGCCTTTGCAGAGTGTTTAATTGTAAAACTGTCTTTTTGGTTGTAGACTCGAGGAGAAGAGGTAAATAATATTTTTAGACCCAAATACAGCTTAATTACTAAGCCTCATAAATTACAGTTGAATTCTATGGTATTGATATAGTAATTTATGATTTTTTATTTCAAAATGCATATATAAAACCTAAAAAAATTATTTCGTTTTACATCCTACACTTACGAAATTCAACAAGGCTTAGAAAATTATGGCAAACGAATACAAACTTCGTAAGTAGAAGAGATCATTGTTTTCTATATTTCTTTATTTACTGTTCTACGTTTTAAGAAAAATAGCTGAAATTTAAGAATTTATTTGTAAATAGTAATAATATATATATATATATATACATTTGTGATGTATTATAACCAAAATATCTTTGTATTCTACAAAATACTGGTCAACTGGAACATAGCTAAGACAGTTGCACTTTGTAAAGGCCAGTTTTATACTATTGGATACAGTAACATGAGCTGCACATATATTGCATGATTGCAACTTCTGTAATGTTAGTGAGACGTGGTTGAAAGGTCAGTAAAATAAAAACAAGATGTATAATTGTGTAATGTTACAAGATTTAAGCCAATTAGAATAAATGCTTCTGGTTTCATATTATAACTTGTAGTCATCCTAGAATAAAAAAAAAGCATGATTTAGATCTATTTTCTAATTTTTTATGGTGGTTACAAGATCGGTCAAATTGACCAAACCCATACAGAGATAAGATAGAGAAAATAACAGATAAAATATACATTTTTTTTCTCAAAAAATATTTGATAATTATCTGGAGGTTATTAGGAGATTATAGAGATTTTGTACATGAAATTTGACAATTTTCTGATGCATAAAAGTATTTTTAATCTTAAAATCAAAATGTTTTTGCATTTTGGATAGTCAACATTTGAAAAGAAAAAATGCACGAGTAAGTTATTAATTAAAAAAGCTGATATTTTATGTATGAAGGTTGTAATGTGTACTTATAACCCGCAAAATTTTGTGAAGATGTGCATGCATTTTAACAAGTTGCATTATAACTGCTTTATGGTTACTTTGTTAGATAAAGATGGGTGGAATCTACCCAGACTGTAGTGAAAGAGTTAATGGGGTTAAAACTTATAATAACTTATATTAAATGAAACAATCTTATTAACAACTAAAAACATAAGTATACAAATAATTGTAAAAAGTTATTTGTATTGTATGCCAGTGATTGTAAATATAGTTAAACTGTATGTTGAGGTGTTTGAATCAAAACAAAGATAAAATATGTAGATTTAAAGAATAAAAAGTTGAATGGAAAGCTTTACAAAAACACTGGAAGACTTAAAATCAGTAATTGAAATCTACAAGAAAGATAAACATTTTTAGTTGCTACTTCAAAAAGTTTCACAATGTAATATTTTCAACTTTATGAAGCTACTAGGTGATACAAATATCATATAATGAAATAAGATATCTTGTAAAAGCTACATAATTTCTATGAGATTCATCCCAAATTTCAAAAAATTTCATCCAATGGTTGTTTTATTTGTGAAAGACAAAAAAAAACAAACACATTAAAACAGGAGCATTGAATGGACTCTCCTGGGCATTTGAGAGTTAAACAAAGACAGGGTTAAGCAAGCAAGTATAAGCCCCTGAGAACAACTTTTATTCCATTTATCTTTTATTTAAGCTACAGGATTATTAGAGGTTTATTATTTTTTTACGTCCTATGTAAAAGGATGCCAACTAACTATGTGTAGAACATGTGGAACAAAATTTAGAAAACATATACTTCAGTATAAGTAAATAGATAGAATCGTTTTTTGTTATGAAAGGTAACTTAGTAAAGTGTATTTTGATTGATTCTAGTTATGATCTTGACTTTTAGTTTTTATATTCAGGCTTATCTGTGTGCTCTTTGTTTTCAAAGGTAGTAGTTTGACTTACTAGCTTTTAGCTTAGTTGGTAAGCACTTGTCTGACTTGTGACAAGTCTTAGGCTCACATCTCAGCCAAGGAATTAATAACAACAAATAGAATTGAAATTATCTAAAAAAACACATCTGTCATAGGCAATCACATGAACCTGATATAAGGCCTTATTTATGATAATGGAAGGATGTAGTAGTTTGAGTTGGTTGTTAAAAGGTACTGTGTTAGCCAGTTCTGGTAGAGCACTCACTTGGCATGTTACAGTTGTCAGGTTCAAATCTGAGGTGAGAAAACATATATGTTATGAAAGTTAAAATTACCACATTAGTATGGAGCTTCACACAATTAAAAAAGAACACTATGCCAAGAAAGTTTATCTTTGTGTAACTATGAAAAAAATTTAAAGTAAGTTTGTATGTTATTTATTGGGGAGCTATTTATTTTTCTTTCTCAGATTTGATATTGCAGAATAATATTCTTTGTAAATGTCTGGCTTTGGGATTTTTGTTATACATAGGCTTAGTAATGAAAAACCTTCAGTGTGTGTCAAGTGATGAAACTTGTAGTAATAAATTATGTATATGCAAAAGAAGATATTTCACACTCACCAGAGGAGAACAAGGACATTTCAATATTGAAATATTCATGAGATTAGTCAGTATACTACAAATATTTTGTTTCAGAGTTTATTAAAAAACACATTGTGCCAATATAAGTTATTTTTTGTAGTTATATTTGAAATCAATGGCTATGTACTTTATTTAATGGAAAATTAATTATGATTCTTACACATTTTGTGCAATTGAAATGTAAATTTTATTTGATTTTATGTTTTTCGTAGCAGATTATTTTTAAACATAAAAAGAAAGTTAAAACCTTACTTATGTCAACTATTAAAACATTAACTTTATTATTTATGTGGACCTAAGCATTAAATAGTTTTAATTCATATTGATTCCTTGAAATTTTGAATTTTTAGAATGATGGAACTAATTTTTTTCAAATCTTGCTGAACAAGAAATGAAGAAAGAAAAACTAAATCAATGTAACTTTGAAAATAACCTGATGACTATTTTAAAGGAGTGAAATTTTGCAAAGACCACCCTTTTTATCCTTGTATTTTTAGAGCTGCTCAGTTTTTAAAGGTAATGGCAGACTCTCAGGCCTTGCAGGAGTCTCAAAACCTCTCCATGTTTTTGGCCACACAGAATAAGATTCGTGACATGTTGAAAGAGAACCTGGAAAAGATTCCAGGCTATGAAGAACTTCTTGCTGATGTAGTTAATATATGTGTTCACATGTATGAATCCAAAATGTACATGCTCCCCAGTGAGAAACACATGTTGATCAAGGTTAGTATGGTTTATACGTGTCTTACAATTATTTTTACTTGTTTCTTTTTAATTTGCAAATTATATTGTAAATTAAGTAATGAAAACTGATGTGCTTTTAACCATTAATCAGAGTTCATGGCTCCCATGGGTTATAGAAACTGAAAATTGTATATATTTTACAGACAAAATGTGGGAAAAGTCGGTGAATTTCATTTGATTCATTGATGCTTCTAAGATGTGGATGGCAAAAAATAATCATTAACACCAGCAAAATCACAAACAGATTAATTCTGGAGTATTTAGCTTGTCAGTATGCATATTTTGTGCATAAACATTGTTGTGTCTATATCAGTCTATTTATCACTAATTTTGTGGAATACAAAGGAAGATGTAATACTAATAGATGTTGTAAACAAAAGCTAGATTCCCATTGAGCATTAGGGCTTTGTTTTTCTTCCTAAAACTAGGTCACAGAGGATTGTTTTACTGCAAATGAAACCTGAAAGTCCTTAACAAATTGTTGTTTAGAGATAGGCTGTTTATAGTAAATAAGTCATTTTCATCTTACAAATTTGGCTGAATTAACAAAACAGTCCCTGTTTCAGTAGCCATTGAAGGAACAATTACTACTGTGGATGTATGTACCCCATTGACATATCTGTGTAGGAAGGATTTGAAAGATGTCAATACAAAAATGAACAGTTTGGTTATTTTGGTAAAACCTGGCAACTCAAAGATAGAACAATTCTTCACTGTTTGATGAGTTTTTCTTTTAATTTCATGATAGTAAGTGCAATAGTTATATAAAATAATAATTTTTCAGTAATTTCTTTTTGGAGAGTTACACAACATTTTATCTTATAAATACAAATGTAATTCATTTCTTTGAATTTATTTTCCCATTGACCATGTGTTCCCTAGTAATGTTTATATTGTGAGTAAGATAAATTTATGAATAGAGATCCAAAATTTTGGGAATGTTCAAAAATTAATTGGAATTGAACTGAAAAAGTAATGGCTACATCACTCAGTAAAGGTTTACATAAAAAGAGTAAAAAAAAGAGTATTTGAATGTGATTCTGTGAAGAAACTGAATAAATAAAGTTACAGACGTAATCAATAAACACATAACATACTTAAAGAAATTCACTATTAGCAAGAATGAACATGGAGATAAGTCATCACTCCCACAGATAAAGCAGCTAACAACTTTGTATTCATTTGTAAAAAGTTTTATATTATAATTTTGTGTAAATAATTTGGGTTTAAATTGAATGTATTAAAAACCTTCAAGTAACATGGTTTATGAACATGTTAAAAGTGATATAAAAAGTATCATTAACACATTTAAGTTTTATCAGACTCGTGTACATTCAGGTACATCAAACAGTGTTATACCTAGATTATTTTAAATTACCAAATTACATAGAACACTATATAAATACAAATTTATTGCTACAATTAAAATTGCCATGACCAAGGGTTTATTAATTATGGTAGGTAATGATCTGAAATACCTTAATAAAAATTAAAAGAAATATTGCACTGTTGTCAGTGAGGCAGCTGATATTAATCTGCTCATAATCATCAACAATTCCATTGAATGTAAAAAGAGAATTCCGATACGGAACATTACCACCACTCACATAAATAGGTATTCTTGTTCAATGCTGCCCTCTGTATGCAAAAAACACATACAGCATTGAAGCTCCCACCCATCTTTGAATTGACTCATTCAAATGCATCTCACATGCAAATCAACATGTGACACCCCTCCACCACTAGGAGTGTGACACACTGTTATCGCATGTGACTCCCTCTATTCAATTCTACCAAACTATCACTTCTCGTTTGTCTGTACTTGTGTTTTAACGTTTAGTTTATGTTCTCTTCAAGTGTTTTTTGTTTTTTTTGTATCTTTGTATCAGTTTCTCTCAATATCTTTACTATTTATTATACAATAATGATATTTGTAACTTGAGTTATTCTGAAGTGGAATTATTTTATACTTCTACCCGGTTACGGAACTTATTGCTTCATTACAACAACTTTTTATTTCCTGCTGCAAACACAGTGGTGTTTGGTTATTCATTTTTAATTATGAATTTTACATTACCACTTCGGGAATTTAATGGCTTTAATTTGTCGGGAGATTGATCATCCAATGAACTGACCTTCATTGGGCCTTGTCTTGGGTTTGTGTCCCCCATACATTTTAAAATACAGTCTGCCAACTTTGGGAAGATAAGATGTTATACCATTATAGTTTTTGAATAATTTTCTTGTATATTATTATCTGTAGTTATCTGGGTTCCATAACATAATTAGGTTAAATATCTTTTCTTCAACACATAGCATCACATACTTGTTTAATTCACTATACAGTTTCTTAACATTTTCACTATATCGACTATTTCATATTTGTCTTTCATTTTAGTTTGTACTTCTTACTGTTAATTTTATTTGTGAGGGCCCTTGGGGACTGGGGTCCATCCTACTTGCTCCCAATATTGATTGCTTTCCTTCTATAATGGCTGAACCCATTTTCAGATGACCTACATTTTGCCAGTTTTCCTGCACCTTCTCATGGATTGCCTTCCAGGCCTTTACTGCTGAATCTGCTAGGCCTATCTCAATTGTTTTTTTCTTAGACACATTTCACAGTATGTTCCCCCTCTCATGACATTGTTTCATGATGATCTTTTTTGTCTCTCTTTTGAGAGTGGGTATTTGCATGCCTCACCCTATACAGGCTTTAATTCTATTTTTGCCTCAGCTTACCATCAGGCAGATTTTCTTCATGATTTTATGCCTATCGACTCTCCTATAGTTAATGTTTACCTTCCACCTCTTTTCATAGGTGTTCCACTTATTTAGGGATTTTCATTGGATATCTCCTCCTCCTTCCCTCCATATTGGGGTGTTTGCATCTTCAGTTCTTTCCCCCCACAAATGGCTTCTTTGCTTTTGGGATCTTCTTGGGTTGGCCATTGCTGTTTCTTTACCAACCACTGCTAATAGAGACTTATGGTCATTTCTTTTTCTCGACCGATCCAGTTTTTGGGGCTACTCCTGTACATTTAGTCACATGGGGTATCTGCGTTGCTATGTTCCATATTTTTCAGTTGCTCTTTTGGTTCATTCTGAGATATTATCATCTGTATTCATTTTATTATTTCTGGCACATCCCCATCCTTTATCAGTCTTACATATGGGTTTTCTTCATTTGTCATGTATACTTGATGCTGATTGGGGTTCTGAATCAATCAGTCCCACTTAAATTACTTCTTGGGTCCTCCCCATATTAATATGTAGTCTCCAATCACATTTGGGTAGGCTGTTTCTGAGAATGCCCATGTTCTACGTTCTTATCTTCCATTTTTTTCACTACGTGATTTGGTACCAGTCTTGGCCTTGACCTTTGGACTTGTTTTGGTTCCATATGTGTTTTGTGTGGCAGTCTGCATTTTACCCACCTTCCACATTTTGGGGAATTTTACCTGCACCATTCATTGGATGTCTAACTTTGGTTAGCTCCTACCAAATTGGGTACTCTTAACATATTTATCTACTCCTTCCACGGTTAGCTTGGGTAGTTTTCTGTTACCCCAGCCTTTACTTTGGATTTTCCTCCTAATTTTCAACTTTCCCTCTTCATCTATATGTGTTGTTATGAGTTTATGTTAAACAATCGTCAGTCTTACCCTCTTCAGGATTATGTTTCTTCCCTGATGCTCATCTCCAAAGGTGTGGAGTGTGGTCCAATCAGTAGGAGGTTTCAGACAATTTTCTATGGAAAAAAGATCTAATCCCCTTCACACCTGGGTGCTTTAGTTCACTCTCTTCCTCTTGTCTGGATTTGACGACTTCAGTTTCATTTCAATTTCTTGACAGTGGTGGCTTATATCACTTACCAAGGGGACACTCATTCTTGTTCCCTTTGTGATAAACATTGGATTTCGTTTTTTGAACCCACACACTTGACATACATCTCCTGTTGGGTTGTCCAGATGCTTTGTTCTCAGTGCTAATTGACTTTACAGTCCTAACACTTTTTCCCTAACAGTGACCTCTCAATCCTCTTAATTTTTGGTGGCTCTGCTTCCTGTGGGGCACTCCTCCACATGAAGTTTTTGAATCTTTTATCACTTCCCAGTTAGTTACTTCTTGTTTTTGGTCTCTGGTTCATCATCCCAGACTATACTCACCCATGGACTACATGAGTAAAGCAGAATGGGATAGCTGCTTATCCCTGCCATGTCTTGTATTGAATAAATTGATATGGTATGCTTTTCAAAATAGGATTTCTTGTTATCCATTGCACTTTTTCAGGCATTGTTATTCCTCCAGACTCTCCACCTCACTTATTCTTCTCTTTTCTTCTAGTGGAGTTAGAGAGTCTTTAATACTTTCTAGTTCCAAGCCACTGCAGTGGTGGACTGTGGAGGCATTCTCCTGTATGTGTTAATGAAATAAATAATATAAATATACATAAATGGTTATAAAACCATACAGTTGAAAGTAGGGCAGTGGTGTTCTGCTGATGTAGATGACAATATATCCTCCACTATGTAATAATGAAGTGAGCCATCAAAATTACCATTTCCCCCATTTGATTGGGATCCCTCATCCTACCCCCACATAGATGTTGATTCCCAGTGGCTGGGTTTTGAATTTAGAGCTGAACTAATCAACATAAGTCCTCACACATGTATTATAGATGTCTCTATTCCCTCACTGTTTTATACTCTTCCTACTCCATTTATGTTGTAGGTTAGGATGGAGGTACTTGCAGATTACTACAGTTCTTCCCTTTCCTCTATCCTTCGATGTTCTTATTATTCTGAGGATGTTACTGCACTTTGTGTGGTTCCTGTCATTTTATATTTGAGTGAGATGGTTTACATTCCACTGAGATCTTTTTGATGCTGGATGTTGTGTTCCCAGATTGATCAATCAATTTCTCCCATTGTTATTATGTGTTCCATTCATGGGTCAGGGGTATGAGATTCCCTCCG